TTTGATGTTTGGTCTCACACGAATGACCCTTTTTCGAAGTCTTTCAAGAACCTCTCGGTAAAAGTGTTGATTGACCGTTTGACCTTGGGGTACAAACTCTTTGTGGACGATTCCGTGGATATCGAAAAAACAAATCAGCATGCATTTGATCTTTAACTTCGCCATCCTTGCCTTTTTTGGCCTTGGAGAGGTTGAAGTGTGCCACTCCATGCTCTGGCGCTTGGTTTCTGGGTCGTACTCAAACACCCAAGTCTCGTCACCAGTAATGACACGTTCCAGAAAATGGGTGTCATTTTCAATTGAATCCAAAAAGTCAAGTCACCTTTCCTTCTTGATGTTCTTCAGGTCTTGCGAAAGGTTTTTTGGAACCATTTTTGCGCAGATTTTTCTCATCCCAAATTCATTGGTCAAAATTTGATGAACGATGGTGTGAGTCAAATTTAACTCTTCCTCTATCATTTTGACTGTCAACTGACGATCTTAACGTACAAGATCCCGAATTCTGTAGACATTTTCATCGGTTCTTGAAGATGAAGGCCTTCCGCTTCGTGGTTCATCTTCAATCGACTCTCTTCCTTCTGAAAATGCCTTAAACCACCGAAAAACCTGGGCCCTTGACAAAACACTATCTCCGTAGGCCTGCTGAAGTTTCAGAAGAGTTTCCGTTGCACTGTGCCCAAGTCTGAAGCAAAACTTGATAGCACACCGTTGCTCGAAATTGAAACACAATACAAAAAACTGTTTCACAAAAACAATCGCTACGCACAACCAAATGACTCGAGCGAGGTAAACTCGTACTGAAGGTGGATCACATGTTCCTCTGCCGCCCCACTAAGCCCCGCGCTTCCAGTGTTGCCAGATCAAACGCAACGTTGCCAGTCTCATTACTTAATTTACAGACCTCGTATCATGGTGACAAAATCTCGAAAACGCAAAAAAAGTGAGTTATCATGTTTTGCCAAATAGCCACATAGTTTTATTTCTATAGGATATGTATCACTACCAAAATTAATATAATACCAACCTTTTTGGAAAAGAACTATGTAGGGTCAGTAAGTTTTTAATAGAAAGTAGAAAAAATAATTTAACGACTAAAATAATAAATATATATAAACATAAGGGATGTATCATCCCTAATAAAAAGGTCTAAACTGCTTTTTTAATGGTTTAATTAATGATCAAGTATTCTCAATTACAATGTTGCTGTGATATTGCTACTGTCTATTCACGTACTGCCTACTGCGCTGGTCTGCCTTCTCCCGCTCGTCCATCCTGACACGCATGAGCATGGACTTTAAGAATGTGTGGTGGAGAGAAAGACACCGCTGCTAACATATAAAATGAATTTTTTATTTACATTTATACAAGTATGTGTAATGACTATTTATGTTAAAAAAAATCGGTAAAGTATTTTACCCAGAACTTCCCTCGATATAGAAATTGTAAAAGCAAAAAACCAAAAACCCTTTACACATTTGCCTCTCCATCGATCTTCCTCTAGATCCCACCCGAATTCTTACTTTGCGTCCACTCGGTATTCTTCGTTACGATCATCGTTATTGAACAATACTGATTGGGTGCTTTCAAAATAGTCCAGTTACACAAACCAAAAGGACGATTTTTATTTTTTCCCTTCAAATGGGACCTTTTTTGATTGAATACGATTCCTTTTAGCGTCATTTTGAATATTTTTAAAATTATTTAGAAAATGTAATCTTTGACTTCTAAAATTCTTAGATACCAATTTTAGTCGAAATCTGTCGACTTTTAAAAATAATTTTTATTTTAAAATCTGCTCATCCTATATATACATACAAGATTTAAAATTGTTCTATAAAGCCGTTTTTAAGCTATCGGGCCAACAGACAGATAGACAGACCGACGGAATGGGGAAACATGTTTTTCGTAATCTAGGGACCCTAAAACGTGAAAATCTGAAATAATCTCGGAAGGTGACTTTTTTACGATTACAATACTTTCCTTTTATAGAGATAAGTAATACATGTATATGTGGTGAGCCAAAAAGTTGGTTAAGTGAGGTCGCTATTTATTACAATTCCTAGATGCATTTGAGAACTCTATTATTGGAATTAGCGCTCAATATGATAACATAATTTGTTCAGGAGATTTCAATATAGGTTTGTTAGTTGATACAGCTGCAGCTAGGCATTTGCATAATATATTTGATTCGTTTGGACTTATTCAACATGTTAACAAACCTACAAGAATAAGTAAGACCTCTGCCACTCTTCTGGATTTAATGATTTGTAATGATAAATTAAATATTAATGATTGTGATGTGTTATATGATCGAATTAAAAGTGACCATGGGTTAATAAAGGCAACGGTTATAATTGAAAATAATATTAAACCCAAAAAAACTATAACTATGCGTAATATAAAAAAAAATAATATGCAACAATTTTATCAAGAACTGTCATCTTTACCATTTGACCAGATTTACCGCACTAATGACATAAATATAAAAGTTGATATTTTTACGACCCTACTATTAAATATAATTAATAAATTTGCTCCATTGCATTCTGTAAATATAAAAAAACAAAGTAAACCCTGGATAACTGAAAATATCAAATTAATGTTTAAATTAAGGGACAATGCTCTAAGTCGTTTTAAACGAACTAAAAAAGAATCTCACTGGATATATTATAAAGAGTTACGAAACTTTACTAACAGAGCTGTATCTCACGAGAAAAAAGCTTATTTAGCCCACAAATTAAAAAATAATCTTTCAACTAAAACACTTTATAGCGAAATAAAGAAACTTAATATTTACTCTAATGATAAAAATAACGAAATTCCTAATAACTTAGCTGACGTCGATATGTTGAATAATTTTTTTATCAACTCTTCTCGGTCACAGCATAAAATTAACAAAGTTATTTTGGAAAAGTTTAACTCTAGCAGAAAAGAAGGACTTGGCAAGTTTCATTTCAGCGAAGTCAGTGAGAATGATGTGTATAAAATATTATTGTCAATAAAATCTAAAGCTATTGGTGCTGATGACATTGGACTGGACATGTTACTTTACTGCTGTCCGTTTGTAATAAAATATTTAACTCACATCATTAACAGTTCTATCAGTACCGCAATTTTTCCATCACAATGGAAAGTTGCGCAAGTAATTCCATTGGCCAAAATAAAAAATCCAAATGAATTTAAAGATATCAGGCCTATAAGTATTCATTGCACAGCTTCTAAAGTTATGGAAAAAGTTATTTATCAACAAATAAAAACCTTCCTAGATTATTATAATATTATTCCTATTAATCAATCTGGTTTTCGCCCCAATCACAGTTGCAACACTGCCCTACTCTCAGTCATTGACGATATTATTAGAGCTATTGACCAAAATCACCTTACAGTTTTAGTATTATTAGACTATAGCAAGGCGTTTGACAGAATAAATCATGCAATGCTAATAGGGCTATTACACCACCTAGGTTTTAATGAAAATGCGAAATGTTTTATAGATAACTATCTTAAAAATAGAATGCAGTATGTTAAATATAAAGATAAATTATCTTCTTCACTAGAAATTGAAAATGGAGTCCCTCAAGGATCTATTTTGGGGCCTTTATTGTTTTGCATCTCTACATCTTTATTCCCAGATTCACTGAAGTATTGCAATTTTCATCAATATGCGGATGATACTCAGATTTACCTTTCATTCCCTGCTTGTAAATTTGAAGAAAGCATAGCCAAAGTAAATTCTGATTTAAATTTACTTTTTAAATTATCTAATGACTATTGCTTAGATATAAATCCCTCTAAATCTCATGTTATGCTGTTTGGCAGGAAAAAAGATAGAATTAATTACAATGATCAACTTAAAATTAAAGTTAACAATGAAATATTGCCTAATACACATATCGCAAAAAACTTGGGTGTATTCCTTGATACTGATCTTAGATTTGAAAAACACATTATATAATATAATAAAAAAATGTGTAACGAATATAAAAATGATTTACGGCAATAAAGACACCCTGGATCATCGTTCTAAAATCTTATTATGTGAATCGCTTGTATTTTCTCACTTGAACTTTTGTGATTCAGTCTATGGACCATGCATTACTCAATTCAATAACCAGCGTCTTCAGCGCATTCAAAATACCTGCATTAGATTAATTTATAAATTAAAAAAAAATCAACGGGTTTCTCGTAAAAGGAGTGAACTAAAATGGCTGACAGTAAGTCAAGCTCGTTTTTTGCATTCCTGCTGCCTATTTCAAAAAATTTTACTATTTAAAACGCCGTCATATTTACATAACAAGATAAGGTTCAGAAGCGATGTTCATAATCTTAATATCCGTAAAAGAAATTTTGTATTAATCCCGCAACACAAGACTAAGATGTTTGAAAGCTCTTTTACTTACATATTTTATAAAACAATCAATTCTCTCCCCCCTGAACTTAAAAACTTATCTGTAAGTACATTAAAGCGTAAAATAAAATGTTATATATTAAATGGTGACATGGAAGTATCGTTTAAAATTTAAGATTTATCAAAAATATTTTCATTGATGCTTCGCATCAATTAATAATTATTGTAGTATTATTATTATTATTGTTAGATAGGTACTATAATTAGATATTGGTGTTAGTTATTATTATTTAATTAATAATTTTGTTTGTCTCTTTTTTGTGGGATTTACTATTATAATCTTTGTTATAATTCTTTTTTTTTGTACTTTTTACATCAGGATATATTGAAAACCATCTTCTTTCATCTTGTATGATTGACGATGAATATGTCCTTTTTAGTAAGTTCATATTTTGGTAGGTTTCTATTGTATTATTCATTTTCCTTTTTCATTATTATTATTATATTCTTGATATCCGCTACATTATAATGCTGTTATGTTTTATACCATTGGCTTACTGAATAAACGTTATTATTATTATTATTATTATTATTACAATATACTTTGTATATCGATAGTGTCACGATTTTAACTGTTTTGTTTTTATTTCAGGTCAATACAAAATTCATGAATTGGATAAAGTGATGTGGTCCTTGAGAAAGCAATATGGAAGAATTGTCAAAGTAAGCGGCTTAATAGGCCATCCAGATTTATTATTTATATTTGATGGCGATGAAATTAAAAAAGTATTTAAAAACGAAGAAACCATGCCTCACCGACCTTCTATGCCATCATTACATTATTATAAACAACAACTGAAAAAGGATTTTTTTGAAGGAAACGAAGGAGTCATTGGGGTGTAAGTAAAAAATTATTACGCTATTTATAAAATAAGAATCAGAAGACGTGGAGCAGGTCTGCGATATTTTTTCTTAAATTATCGCAGCGTGTTTAAGAGGTTCTTCCGTCTTATGAGGTAGAGTTTCGAACTGAATATAAATGATAAATCTTGTAGAAAATCGTGCTGCTAGGTTAATTGATTATTGTAGGATGAAGTAATTAAAGTACTTGCTCCTGATAACTGGTTTTATATTAACTTCTGCCTTGTGTCGAGTCTAAGAGTTTATCCTTGACACTGTCTTGTTTAAAGAAATGATGTGGTTTGACCAAGTTCGAAAGAGAGATAGAGTAATGTGTTACAAATTGATGAGTGAGCGGTTGCATTTATTTAACAATTTAATTTAACAGGCATCTAACGCTGGAGCTAAACAATTGCATATTCAGGGGAGAGCGGTCCGAGGCACGAGACGGATGGACCTCTTGGTATATCTGACTCTATTCTTTAAAGTGAGATACGACTTGAGATGACTAATAACTGGAAAATACTATTTAAGGGCTGAACATTTAGGTCCGGACTTAACGATTGGAATAAAATACACGTAGTTGAGTAAATTCAAACCGCTAACTCAACGTTGAACCAAATAAAAACTCTATGAATGTTTTTTGTTTAATTTTCGGTCTGTGTATAACTTTTTAATTTATGAAAAATTTTAAATTTTGAATTTTTATGATCTAGTTGGTTGGTTTTTAACCCATAGATCATCATATTATTATCTAAGTAAATATTTGAGTTATCGATTTGATTTTTTTTTAGATTGAAACATAAGCACCTCTCAGTACTAAATATTTTAAGATATCGAAATATTTTTTGTCGAAAATAATTTAAAACTTCTATCTTACACCATTTATGCAGAGTTAATTTCGAGATGCAACTAACTTTTTTATTTTTTAAAATATGCCGGTATATGCTGCGAATAAAATGAAGCAAGATTTTAAGAAAGAAATATTGGCCTGTGACTCATAGTTTGTATGTTATGAATTTTTTGCGATATAGTTCTCGCGACGCGCGTCTCGACTTATCTGGGTATCGATTGCTGTTCAGTAACTAGAATAAAGATATATAATGCTTGGCATTCTTATGATACTCTTTAAAGGTAATCAAACCCCTTTTAAACCCTCTATTTTTATTCAGATTTTTTTATAGAATAAAAAATAAAAGCTTTATTTCGAGAAGAAGAATTCAAGTTGCTATCGTTTTTTGTTTCTGAGCTGAAATTTTATTTTAATATTTTAATTCCCCTTAACCCCTTCATTTTTAATAAGATTTTTCAATAGCGGCACGGGTAGCGAGAGGATATCCGCAGGGTGGAGTGCTGTCTCCACTCCTGTGAAACCTTGTAGTGGACGGGCTGCTTAGGGCTCTCAAAAATAAGGGAAATAGAACCCTGGGATATGCCGATGATCTAGTGATCATGGCACAGGGAAAATACAACACTATAGTAAGAAATCAAATTGCAAGAGGCTCTAAATATAGTAACAAAACGGACAGAGCCGGGAGGACTAAACATTAGCTCAAACAAGGAAATTGGAGGGACTAGGGCCTCTAAACCTAAGAGGTGCAAGCATCCAGCTTAAGGGGGAGGTAAAATGTCTCGGGGTTATGATTGTCTCGAACCATCATCTAAAAAGAACCTCGTTAATGATGGCAAGGCGATCCTTTGGAAAAAAATGGGGTTTAAAACCAGACATGGTATATTGGCTTTATAACATGGTGGTGAGACCGATAATAACATACGCAGCTTTGGTGTGGTAGCCAAAGACACAGCAAAGAAAAGGAATAACGAAGGTAAGCAAGGTACAAAGACTTGCCTGCCTCGGAATAACAGGGGTAATAAAAACAACCCCTACTTCTGCAATGAAAGCACTAATAGGACGCCCACCTCTTCACTATGTGATACAAGGGGAGGCAAGATTAGGTGCTTACAGATTAGGGAATACACTGGGAAATCTTGACATTAGGCCAGGACACATGAGTATCTCAAGGTTAGTGACAGGCTAGACATGAGATCAGACCACATAACCAAGAGGTACTCTTTTATTACTCCATTTGAGGTTTTATTACAGGAAAGAGCGGAGATCATCATAAGGGAGCCCAATGCCCAACGACAGGAACAAACCTGGTATACAGAAGGGTCTAAGACTGCGGAAGGCACTGGGTCAGGAGTATTCTCCAAAAACCCTGATACTAACCATAGCTATCCTATAGGAATACATTCCTCGGTATTTCAGGCCGAGGTATACGCAATTTTGCAATGTGCAAAAACGAACAATGAAAGAGCTGTTGAAAATCAGCATATTCAAATAATGTCAGACAGCCAAGCAGCACTTAAGGCCATACCGAGTCAGAAAGTTACGTCGAGGCTGGTATGGGAATGCATCGAAGAACTAAGAACACTGGCAGACCAAAATAGTATAAAACTATTTTGGGTGCCAGGTCACCAAGGGATCGAAGGCAACGAAAAGGCTGACGAACTTGCAAAAAGAGGGTCAGAAGGAACGCCGGAACCAGACACAAACCCAGGAGTACCAAAAAGTACAGTCTGGGGTTTCATAAACGACTGGATTCGGAAACAACATATCAACTATTGGGGAAGCACCCCAAAACAGGCATATGGAGAAGCCTTAATAGGCAGACCATGTCCCAAAAGAACTGGAGAACTACTCTTAATTAATAGGAACCAGTTGAAAATGATAACAGGGTTCATGACTGGGCACGCCCCAGTAAAGGGACACTTGAACAAAATTGGCATGTACAATGGGGAACTCATGTGCCGACTATGTAACAAGAAACCAGAAACTGCCAAACACATACTGTGCGAATGCAAAGCTCTAGATCACAAAAGACAGGTTCTTTTTGGACAACCCCAGGTTGATCCAACAACGTATAAAACCCACTCACCCAAGGATCTGTACAAACTTTAAATAAAATTGTCATGGTAATATCGTTATTCGTTGTTGATTTATTGATTTCAACCCCCCCATAGCCCCCTATAATTGATAAAAAAAAATTAAAAATAAATAAGTTCCCATTATAAAGCATGATTTTTCCTAAAAATTTCAAGTTGATAATATTTTTAGTTTTAAATTTATGATTCTTTTTAAATTTTAATCCCCCTTCCCATTTTTAATTAATTTTTTTTTAAATGAATAAGCTTCGTTCCATCGTTGAGCTTGATTTTTCCTGAAAATTTCAAGTTGATATTGGGTTTCCTTTTTGTTTTATGATTTTTTTTAAGTTTCAATTCCCCCTTAACCCTTCCATTTTTAATTAGATTTTTTTAAAATCAGTAGGCTTCCTACCCTTATACAAATTGATTTTTCCCAAACATTTTAAGTTTATATCATTTTTCGTTTTTGACTTATCGTGCGGACAAAATCATTTTTCGTTTTTGACTTATCGTGCGGACAAAAAACGTGACCTCGGACGGATAGACAGGCAGACGGACGGACGGATGGACCGACATTTTTAAAAATTGTTTAAAATTTGATGAGAAGGATTTTGGTACAAAAAAATTTAAATTGGAATGAATATTAAAAACTGGTTTCTTGACATTAAACTTATAATATACTCTTCGAGAGTATAATAATAGAAGCCATTTAGTAGTAAGTTATGTTTTAAGTGGATACCTATAAAATAAATTTCGCATAGGTCTTTGGTGTTAAACACATGCGTTAAGTGTATGTATTTAAGATATGGAAGAATGCGTTATTTGCAAAAAATAAAACTGGTAAAAAATCAGGAAGCCTATACGGTATGAGCTTTAGACAATTTTTTCTGCTGCAGAAAAAAGGTTAGACTCTTCTAGTAAAAATATTTAATCCAAAAAGGATAATAAATTATCGGGGAGATCCAAACTAATGTAGCAAAGTGTATCCAAAGAGAGTTGCAATAGTCCGCGGAATATTTTTATATGTAAAACCATGATGTAAGAATATAGGTGAAGCGGTGTGCAGGTTTTGTGACGTCAACATCGGTATTGTCACGGCCACCTCTAGACTGTCGTGGGTTTGTTTACATTTTGTAATCATTGTTGCCTGGTCTCTTTTACCAGTTACTACTAGTTTTCCTTTAATGGATAGCCGGGAAGAGAACATGGCAAAGAACGAATCCACTTCATTGACGTTAAATTCCACAGAATCGTTTTAATTGAATGACTTGATGAATGGCGTATAAAATCTATACTCAGATTTTCGAATGGACTCATCGAATGTCGGAGATTGATTCAGATCAAATATTGAAGAAGTATGTGTATATGCTTTTTCTTCAGTTCTTTCCCTTTTGTACATAGTCATCGTTGACATGATATCCAAGTAAACGGAGGAACAATATATTTGCTGTGGTAAGATATCGTCGCTTAGGCACTTACGGCAACACTGAAGATTTGGATCCACCACTGTCTCTTATAACTAATCTATCTGCTTCTTGCTCTCAACTCCAACACAAGAGTACTATTTTCACCTTGAAAATTTACTGGATGACTTTCTTGATCTAAAGCAGCAGTTGTAGTATAACTGGTAAATATAGTAAATTTAGTGGCGTTTCGTTTATAGCGTAGCCAGGATCGACTTTGATGGCAAATTCGTAGGTCGTGTGTGCAGGTCTGTCTCCGTCGAAGGATCTCAACGTAATGTTGGCATCAAAGTGGATAGTCGATACTTTTAAAATCTTGACAGGCAAATCTGAAGAATCCGTTTGGCCAAGACTAAGGTGTTTTCCTGAGAATCCCAATATATGCCCAATATTATTCGGTTCTTTAAACGATGTTGTATAATATTTGCTAAAGATTTCACATTTCAATGTATTATTGTTTTAGTTTCAGAGAAAAATGTTGTTCAGGATTAGTTGCATTATCAAGACCCATTTTCGTTTGGATAAATGTTTCTATGTCGGTAATTTCATAACATCCTGTAGGAAACTCGATAACGTTCAGCTTGTTTTTCTAATCAATATAATACAAT